CATTTGTTTTTAACTCTTAGTAGTGCTTTCCAACCTTTACATGACAGGGCATGAAAAAAAACAGTTGTCATCAAAAAAAAAAAAATGATAGTGCTGGTACCGTACACTGAGGTAAAATGGATTAGATTTGGGGATGAGATTTCTCATTTACATTATGAAATTATGATAAAATATAAAATGGGGAAAATATTAGTATAAAACTTTAAAATAAAATCTTTTCAAAATTTTCAGTAAGAAACTTGTGTTTAAATCCATGGTCTTTTTTTTAAACTAACTAGGTTCTATATTTAAAATGGCAACATCTGGTTCTCTCTCTTTTTTTAATCCTCACCCGAGAATATTTTTCCATTGATTTTGAGAGAGAGCAGAAGGCGGGGGACACAGAGAAACACTGATGTGAAAGGGAGACATTGATTGGTTGCCTCCCACATGCGCCCCCAAATAGGGCTGAGGATTGAGCCTGCAACTGAGGTACGAGCCCTGGACCAGAATCAAACCTAGGACCTTCCAGTCCGCGGGCCAACGCTCTATCCACTGAGGCAAACTGACTAGGGCTACATCTTGTTCTTGATCAAAATTTTTAATGATAATCTGTTCATGTTGTGGGCTAAAGCGTGTCTCCTTCTACCCCTCATTCATAGGTCGAAGTCTTAACTCCTTGTATCTTAGAATGTGACTGTATTTGGAGACTGGGTCTTCAAGTTAAAATGAGGTCATTTACGTGGACCTTGATCCAATATGACTGGAGTCCTTTCAAGAAGGATACACTTGAACACAGACACACAAAGGGAAGCGATGTGAAGACACAGGGAGAAGACGACCATCTACATGCCTTCCAGGAGCCCTAGGAGATAGGCCTCAAAAGAAATCAACCTGTTGACTGTATCAATTTATATGCTCACTGCAGTATACATTGTGTACTTCCCAATCAGCAGCACCTTGATTTTAGACTTCTTGCCTCCACAGTTGAGAAAATAAATTTCTGTTCTTTAAGCCACCCAGTCTGTGATACTTTGACATGCAGTCTTAGCAAACTAATACAATCATTAAAATGAAAAACTATGCACTGTAGGTAATAACTTTTATGTCAGTTTTTACAGACATTCAGGAATACCCATATATCAATGGTTCTCAACCTTCCTAATGCCGCGACCCTTTAATACAGTTCCTCATGTTGTGGTGACCTCCAACCATAAAATTATTTTCGTTGCTACTTCATCACTGTAATTTTGCTACTGCTATGAATCGTAATGTAAATATCTGATATGCAGGATATATTTTCATTGTTACAAATTGAACATAAAGTATAGTGATTAATCACAAAAACAATATGTAATTATATATGTGTTTTCCGATGGTCTTAGGCGACCCCTGTGAAAGGGTCGTTCGACCCCCAAAGGGTCGCGACCCACAGGTTGAGAACCGCTGCCATATATACTCCTGGAGCTGTGTTTATCAGTGGCCCTTGTCAGGGTGCTTCTTAGGCTATGCAGCCTCAGTCTGTGTCCAGCTGCAACAGCTGTCCAGGTGGTGGACCAACTCCCTGGCTGCACTCAGGGCTCTGCAGGAGAGCATCAGGCCAGAGGAACAAGTCATGCTCGCCCACTGCCAAGCTGAGGCTGTGCTGGCAGATGCCACTATCCTCAGGCTGCCTCCCAGGAGCCCTGATGACACCCAGCCTGGTGGCTCTGGCTGCCCGGGAGTGAAGGGTTAACATCACTGAGGACATGCAGCACACCAGTGTGTGCCACATCACCCAAGCTGACAAGCTCTTCCTTCAACAATCGTTCTGAAAGTATTTGAATTTAACCGTTTCTTCAGCAACGTATTTTTTGTTGTTCTATGTTATGTTCCTGGGTGTTATCCATGCTGTAGCAGGAGCTATCTTTTATTCGCTTCATTGTTGTTGTTTTCTCATTGTGTGTATATGCCATAAATTTTTTTATCCATTCTATTGTTCTATCCAATCCATTCTATTGTAGGATATTGGGGTGTTTACAGTATTATTGCAAGCAATGCTATGAACAGTATGTGCATACCTCCTGGAGTACACATGAAAGTTTTCTCTAGGGTATATACAAGGGAGTAGAATGATTGAGCCACAAGATATGTGGGCCTTCAACTTGACAATAACAAATTATTTTCCAAAATGACGGTATCAATTTATATGCTCCCTGCAGTATACAAGTGCCCTTCCCAATATTTTATATTGTTCATTTTTTTTTCATTTCTGCCAATCTGATGGGTATGAAGTGATATTTCATTGGGATTTAAATTTTAATTTTCCTGACTACTAAAAAGGTTGAACATCTTTTTATATGACTGTCGGCCATCCTGTTTTCTGCTTCTGGGAGATGCCTGTTAAGACTTCACTTTCCTACTGGTCAGTTTGTAAAGTTTGTTTATGTACTGTGGATACTAATCTTTTGTCAGTTATATATGTTGCAAATATTTTCTCCCAGTTTTGTGGCATGTCTTTTTACTTTCAAGATATAAAAACAGAGTTCTTAATAATTTAGTTGAATTTATCAGTTTTTTCCTTTATGCCTGGTGCTTTATGTTCAATGAATTCTTTCCTAATAAATCAGAGGTTCTTAAACTGGGGTCCACAAACTAGGAGAGATTTTAGGGTGTCTGTGAACCTCCTGAAATCATATGCCAAATTTTGCATGGATATATAGATGTGTTATTTTGGGAAGAAGGGCCAGCTTTTTTAAAAAGTCTGTGATATAAAAACAAATTAAGAATCACTACTATATAGTAAGGATTAGGATATAATTTTAAAATTATGATGGCACATGTGTTAGGAAAGAATGAAGAATACAAGTACTAAAGTAACAAACATGAGTGAGTTCTAGAAAGGGAGTAGGCAAGAATAAGGCAGCAGGTGTAGTGGATTACAACATACATTTTGGCCCTGGCTGGTTTGGCTCAGTGGATAGAGTGTCAACCTGTGGACTGAGGGTCAGGGTTCAATTCCAGTCAAGGGCACAAGCGCGGGTTGTGGGCTCAATCCCCAGTAGGGGGCGTGCAGCCAATCAATGATTCTCTCTCATCCTTGATGTTTCTATCTCTCTCTCTCTCCCCCCCATTCCTGAAATCAATAAAAATATATTTTAAGAGAAGAACATACATTATTTGTGGTCAGAGACCTGGTTTATTTCCTGGCTCTGCTGCCAATGTGTGACCTTGGGTAAATTCCTTTATAAATCTCTAAGCTTCAGTTTCCTCATCTGTAAAATGGAGATAACAGCACTACCTCCCTTACTGGGTTGTAAGAATTCTTACTACTCACAGCTAATATTCAACGAGAGTTTATCATGTGTCAGATAATATAACATGCTACGCACTTTGTATGTGTATTATCTCATTTAATCCCCACAACAATTCTGTGAGGTAGCTACTATTATTAATTCTATTTTACAAAGATGTGCTTGAGACAAGCTATGTGATTTGCCTAAGGTTACATAATAGACCAGCGGCATGGAGGATTTTAAATACAGGTAGTCTGAACACCATAGCTTCACAAGATAGTAATTGTAAATAACAGTTACTGGCACACAGGAAACAATCAAACCATAGCTATTATAACTGAATGGAGAGATAGCCTATAAATGATTTTAGATAAGAAGTGGAATATAGAAAACAGTTGAAAAAATAAAGTATATGGAAGGAAAAGGGTGAATAATAATAATACCAGGTTTCTCTTTAAAAAAAAAAAAAGTGTTTCAGTCCTTTCTTGCTAAACCAGGCACAGGCATTCTACAGGAGAACCAGCAGATGTTTCAAGGGACTAAGGCAAAAACGTACAAGTCACCACCTCATTTCCGTAGTCCCTGCAAGTAACAAATGCTTGCTCTGTGAACTGTTCTAGTCTATGTACCCCAGGCTGCTCCCTCCTGGCCCCACCTGAGGTTTTTGTATTTGACATGAGGAGGTCTCTAGTAGAGGCTGGCACCCCTATTTTTAATTTCTGTGTAGATGGGAAGATCCAGTCCCTCTTCTCTTGAAATAAGCTTAGAGTTCCATTTCTTCATTTCCCGATTCTTGACATTTGCACAGTTGGACTGAATAAAAAGGCCAAGATGGGAGCAAGGGGATTCTACTTGGGGTGCTCACCTGCTCCAGCCGTTCAATGAGCTCTGCCGGAGTTAGGACCACCTCCTCACTACCGCCATCAGAGTCCTGTCCCGGGAGACCCAGTTCCTCTGTCATCTTCCCCGGTACCTACTGAGAAGAAAAGAACCAATACTCTCCGAAGCGTTTTCCATTTATTTGCAAGGACAGGCAACTATGTATCTACAACGGGGCGTGTAGAGGCTCACTGGCAGTAGCTAGAGAACGCATTGGCTTCGCCTTTTCCATTCTTTGCCTCTTCCTTCACACCTTAGAGCGGGTATCAGTTCCCGAAGTGCTCCCACATACCCCTGAGCTGAGCGCCCAGCACACCATGCAATAGTTATGTCTTCCCGGGAGACGCCCACTCCGCACGGGCTGTGCTCCGTTCGAATATGAATGACCCGTCCGCTCTGTGCCTGGCACCTCCGAGTACTGAGGACACAGCGACCTGTGTCGTCCCTGAGCTTAAGGCGGGGCTTCACTCATAGCAGGCGCTTCAAATTGTTGGGAGAGCGAATCAGGGTCTGGTTTCCTACAGTCGCAAGGCCCGGCCGTATCAGACCAGTGATTAAAGGCTCAGAAAGGAGAGTGGTGGGGCCGAGAGGACGCCCCGGGAGCCTCAGGGAAACTGAGGGCATATTCCCCTCACTCCTCTCCTCTCTGAGCACAGAGTCACCTCCTCCTCCAACACACGCGCGCACACACCCCCAGAGGTCCCCTCGGATGCTCACCTGGGCCCTTGGGAGGCAGCCGGCGGCCAGGACGGGAAGCCCCTGGGGAAGCCCCCGCGTGGGGCAGCACCCCGACTTTCCCCAGGAGCACCTGGCAGCGGAGCAACCTTTTCTACGTCTTCTCGAGACCTTCCGGACCCTGCACTTCTCCGTTCCCGCGCTCCTCTTAGAAACGTTCCTCCCGGGCATAACGTCACCACGCACGGGCGGCGCTGACCAATCACGGCCCGGCGTCCCGGTGGCCCCACCCACGGGGTGAAGATGTGCGTCTGGGGCGTGTGGACGCGGCAGGCTGGTCCAGCTTAGCCCCGCCCACCTGGGCCGGCAGCACTTCTGTGCAGTCCTGGGTGGCACCACCTGGTGATGGTCGGCAGGGGGCGCTCACCACCGCGGCTGAGGAGACACGGTGGTGTCTGCCTTCCACGCCCGCTCAACCCCCTCACCTCTAGTGGCGGTTTGAACAGGGAACTGAGGCCTGTTAAAATCAGGCCACTTCACATCTTGGGTCATCTCCACCCACTGCTCTTGGGTCCCTTTGGCTCCTTCATCTGCCGGGGCTTCAGCTATGGCCGCTACTTCCAGAACTAAAAGCCTTTGGTTTTTAAAGCGCAGTACCAGCCCACCAGCAAGAGCATTAGGAACCCGTGAGGAGTGCAGGTTCTCAGGCTTCGCCCAGACCTGAGAAGGGTGGGCATCAGTTTGCTAAGAGAGAGAGCGATGTCCGAGGAGCCCAGCAGCCCTAGCTGTTCTGTCCCCAGGTGTCTGAATTCAAGGAGCCTTTATACCAGCGGTTCTCAACCTGTGGGTCGTGACCCCTTTGGAGGTCGAACGACCCTTTCACAGGCACCTAAGACCATCGGAAAACACATATATAATTACATATTGTTTTTGTGATTAATCACTATGCTTTGATTATGTTCAATTTGTAACAATGAAAATACATCCTGCATATCAGATATTTACATTATGATGCATAACAGTAGCAAAATTACAGTTATGAAGTAGCAACGAAAATAATGTTATGGTTGGGGGTCACCACAACATGAGGAACTGTATTAAAGTATTAGGAAGGTTGAGAACCACTGCTTTAGACGATCTAACTCAGGTTCCGAGTTATCCCAGTTAACTTGGAGGAAGTAGAGCTGTCCCTGCAGAACTCTACCCAGACTGCAGATTTGTGAGCAAAATACTGTTTGAAGCCCCTAAGTTTTGCGGTGCTTTGTCCTGCAGCATTAGATGACTGGAACATTAGACCCCTGGGCTATGTTTGAGCACAGTCCCATTCTTCCGTAGTTCTCACTACCCAGCTTTTCAATCGTCTTTATTATCATTCCTTAAAGGGTTTAGATGTGAGTCCAAGCACCAATAATTTCTCCACACCATTACCAATTACCTAGTTTACTTACTCAGAGACTTCCCTTGCAAACTGCCTTCTCCAGCCTCCCACTGCAACTCTCTCTCGGGGAGGTGGAGCCCAGCTTCTGCTTGCTTACTTCAGGGAGGTGTGATCTTAAACAAGTCACCTCTCGGGGCTTCAGTTGCACTGCCTGCTAAGTGAGAACATGTGTCTTCCTGAAGGCAAAGGGATAGATCAAAAATTGGGGGGAAGAGAGCTTTCGCTTCTAAGATCTTTGATTTCAACTAACACTCATCAGACACAACCACTTCAGAGTAAAATGAGTTTGCAGAGCAAGACTTCTGCTATGTAAAGAAGGAGACCTTCAGGAGACATCCAGAAAGAATACATCGAGCTACCTGGGGAAGCTGCACAAACTTGTAGTGAAACTGTTGGGCAAATGGCATTATAAAGTTCAGAAAGGTGGGGGGGGGCAGGTTGTAAGTTACATTAGGTAGAATGAAGAGAAAAATCAGGAACACCTGATGGATGTGCACCCACCATCAAGAGGTTTTAAAAATAATTACACAACCATATAAGTGGAATGACATTCATTAAAATAGTCCCATAAAAAAGAGAAGTACATACATCATGATAGCAGGATGATGAAGTTCAATGGTGATAAATGAAACTGCAGGACAGCATTTGCAGGCAAGTTGTGATGATTAAAAGAACAAAATGAACATGCTAACATGGATTCAGACAAGTAAAATGTGAAGCTACAAACATAGTGAAAGGAAAGTTACTGCTCCAAGTTGAAGAGGACATAGAAAGTAGAACCCTATGCATTTGAAGAAAGTGAAAAGTCAGTGCAATCCTATCTAATAAAAGAGTAATATGCAAATTAACTGTCACTTTGCAATAAAGATGGCGGCACCCACAGCCAATAAGGAGGGAATGTGCAAATTGACGTGACAAAGATGGAGGTGCCTGCCAGAGCCATGGAGCTGGCCGGAAAGGCTTGGCTTCCTGGGTTGCTGGGGCCAAGTCAAGCCTGGCCAGAGAATGGGAGAGTGGGCAGGAAGGCTTGGCATCCTGGGTTGCCCCAGCGACCCAGGAATGGGGCTAGGGGCGATCAGGCCAGGAGGGGAGGGCAGTTGGGGGTGATCAGGCCGGCGGTGGGGGAAGCTGGGGGTGAGCAGGCAAGCAAGGGGGGGCAGTTGGGGGTGAGAAGGCTGGTGGGGAAGCAGTTGGGGGCAATCAGGCAGGCAGGCAGGTGAGCGGTTAGGAGCCAGTGGTCTGAGATTGCAAGGGATGTCCGACTGCCGGACATCCCCCAAGGGGTCCCAGATTGGAGAGGGTGCAGGCCGGGCCGAGGGACACCCCTCCCCGCCACACACGAATTTTGTGCACCGGGCACACTAGTTTCCAGATATTACTCAATGAATAAATTAATTGCAGGTAAAGACACAGCAAATAGAAACAGCCAAAATATTTGTGGATAGCTATAGAAATATACATTAATAAGAATGAACCTAATTATTTTCCATCACCAAGGAGGAAAGATAAACTATACATAACCATACAAAATTGTGAGCCTTTTTGCAGAAAGATGCTTTTGAAATACAAGGTAATATCATCATTATTGCTTTCATATCATCACTGCCCTTGCTCATTTGGTCAACAGCTGTTTCTCACTGTTCCCTTCCTTTGAATTTCATCACATTTTTGGTCTCACTATCCTGAAACCAAAGCATTAAGTTTTAGGGAGTGTACACTTAAGCAAAGGTTAACCCCCAGTTGTTCTGAATAAATGAAAATTTGGACTAAAGATTGGAAAGTAAGAGGGCAGTTTGGATTTTTATAGAAGGCAGAAAAGTACTCTTAGAATATTTTCTTTTAGCCTCACAAGGAAAACTATTGCCTAATGAATTTGCAAGTATTTTTCTGGCCAGTGGTAAAACCTCATACTTGCTTGTATGGCCGGATGCTGAAAAACTCAGCAGGCCAGGGACAGACTTGGATCTCTCTGACAAATGTAAGATCTGGGCAATTCATGATATTCCTAATTCCTTTTCCCTTCAAACTTTAGCTCCTCATCCTTTTCTCAAACCCCATCTTGAGTTCAAGCACATTAAATTAATCCACACATGTCCCCAATGCAGATGTAAACTTCTCAGATCTACGTTTTGCTATCACAGTTCCAGGTTTTAACTGGTAAAAGTGAATCGTGTGCATTTGTAATATTGTTTAACTTAAAGAAGCATGTCCAAAGCTTTAATGTTATGTTCTCTGTTTTTTCTACTCTCTTAAAGGAGCATGGATGACTCTCCTTCCCTTAGTTTGGTCTTAATGTGCTCCTAGTTTCTGGCACAGACACGGAAACCCTACCTCCACCTCTGTACTGTATCTCATCTGTTCATGGTAAATAGACGGTTAATAGGAGGATGCTTTTTTCTCTCGTTATCATGATTACAGAATCCGTGTTGGAAATAACTAAAAAGAGTCAGCTTGCTATGATGGGGTACTTACATCTTCTGAAAAGAAAACTGACCAGACAGCTGGCTTCAAATTCAGTTCTAACAAAGGCGTCCCAAGCCTGGGCAAAGACCTGGAGATGCCATCTTTCCTCGTGGCCTTAACTTTGCCAATAAGGTTGCAGGGGCATTGGTACCTGTCAAAGGCTTCCACCTCCTTAAGCAAAGATGGTACCTTCTCATTCCAGCACGGCTGTTATATACTCTGGCATTTTCCTTGGCAGACTGCACACAGAACCCCTGGAGGCTGGCACCTCGTCGCCCTCGGGCTTGGACAGCTGCAATGAAGGGAAGGCTGTTGGAGGATGGAGTAGATTCCCTTGAGAGAAGTACTAATAGGGTGGGCATCAGGTGCTGGTGTGATTTTTAGGGACTGAAACAGCGCTGCTGATTTTCTTGTAGTATAGGGTTTCCTCCCTTACACGCTGCTCCAGTCGTGTCCAACTACTTAAGGACGTGAGGTATTTTGTCTCCTTTCTTTGCACACGCTGTTCCTCTTTTCAGGCTTCTCTCTTTCC